AGCACAGAGAGTTGTGGGTAAAAGAGAAATTTTCATAATAAAACCATGTTGCTAGGAATATAAGCAACCTAGTGAAGAGGAAGACATTAATAGATGAGACAGAGATTCAGGATGAAAGATGTAAGGTCAGGAATGAAATACAGTTGTGAAACACTTGATCTTAGAAAGGGGGAAAGGCTCCTCTTCTGAGATAATACAAAAAGCTGTGACATTTAGAAAAATTCTGAAAAGAGAGGAGTGTTTTCGAATGTGGAGATAAGGAAGTAGCATCATAGGAGAACACCAACTTTGGGGGTGAGGAAGTGAAAGTGGGGATTCAAGATGGGGGCAAGAGTGTGGAGACTTTGCTCAGAGTCAGAGATCAGCAGTGCCAGCCAAAGAGACAACTAAATATCAGATCATGCAGGAGTGATATGGGATGAGTGAGTCTGGGCCACCATGGGAGTGAGAAGTGATGTGGCAGTACAAGAATGAGTCTGTATAAATTCATAAGCCCAGGCAAACACACGCATACACATTCTCAAGTAAGGGATTGGTAAGGAAACACCAGCAGGGGAGCTGAACAGGAGTCTGCAGAGAGAGAAACATCATAAAAGTTTATTTGTTAGAAATATATAAAAGTTGGGAAAAGATTTGCCAAATTCTTTCAGGGCAAAAGTCTTCTACTTTCTAATATCTATCTGTGTCTCTTTCAATGTCAAAACTGTAGCCTATTTTTAGATTATAATTTCCTTTCTAGTCACTGAATTGGTGTGCTTAATAAAGAATAAGAAGATGATCAAGAAGGAAGCCCAAACTACATTGCCTCAGTGAGCTAGGTGTTTCTGTCTGATGATTTTAAATGGAAAATAAATTGTTCTCTAGAGCAGGAAAAAAAGAAATCAATGACGTCCTGTTAAAGATGGCAAATTAACAAATGCATTTAATCTCTACTCCCTTCTAAAAGCTCATTAAAATGACAGTAAGCGGTTTTTATAAAGCCACAAATCCATAAGGACAAAGAAAATGGGAGCAACAAAATTCTGGAAACTGAGCAACAGCCAAACAAGTGATAATTGACTTAACTGCTCATTCAAGGAACCTGAATCTGAAGCTGGTGGGGGGGAGGTCCTGACACAGCCTGACTCATAGGCAGACCACCAGCTCAGAAATAACCTGGTGACCAGGACCTCTCGAAACTGGGGTAAAGCTAGTGATAAAAGGGAAGAACGGTCTGGAAGCTGGATTAATTAACACTTAGATCTCTGTGTCCTGACAGTGGGGAGGTTAAAAAATAGCAAAATTATCATCTTTCATCTGGGGAGTTTAATAGGTAATGCTTGAAAAACAATTCTTAGTAAACAGTGTAAGCATGTTAATTAGAAATATGAACATAAATACTAAAGAAGGGAAACAATCAGCCAAAGGTGTTGAATGTGACTGCTTCTGGGGAGGGAGAATTGTGAACAATTATTTGGTTCTTTATGTACATACATAATTCTAATAAAAATAAAAACTAAGTTCGAAGAAAAAAGAAGGAAGGAATCAAGGGAGAAGAGGAGCCACAGGAACTTCGGATGTTCCCAAAGACGTGACTCTACACCCGCAAGGCTTGGGAGGGACAGTGTTAGGTTGCAGAGGGGCAGAACCTGCAAAGGACCCCTGCTGGCTTCTCTGCGTTCATGGGCATGCAGGCAGAGGTGATGCCTGCATGCCTGGGAGGATGAGAGCCTGGTTCCTCTTCTGGCAGGAGAATCAGTTGTGTGCACTTTCAGAATGACTGTTAGGAGGGAGGATCAAACTAAATGAAAGATGACCCAGCCCACTCCAGACCTCTTTAAATAGAAACTTCTTTGCTAAAAGCTCTAACATATTTTCATGTGTGACCAGGGTTGCATCATTACTGAGTAAAGTGGGATTGAAGAAGATAACTTTCCCAATAATAAAAGCTTTAATTAGCCTTCACTTTAATCAGTTTAATGGGAAAATTTTAATAAATCCAATACATCCCTGCTTTCTTAAATTTGATTTGCTAAACATAATTTGAACATTGGTTTTGAAGACCCAGGGTCATCTTGAGATGCTGCAGTTTAATGGAGGCTTTAAGTTTGGAGGCCCCTTAACCTGCACACTCAGCGGACTGCCTGCTGTGACTGTTCAGATTTGGACGTAGTGTTAATAGTTTAATTCCATCTCCTTTCATTAAGCTCTCTCTTCCTACTGCTTTGTACTGTATTTCCAACTGTCTATTTGTATACCGCTCTTTTTTTTCCCTCTTCTATTTGCTGCTTCCAGTCTGCTGAGCAGTTGATGTCTCCCTGGTGACCAAGTTTGATAGATTTATCTTACATAAAAGAGGATGAGGCCCCGAAACACTCCTGCATGGGAAGAATCAGCAGAATGTCAGGCCAGACCTATGTGACCTGGATTTAATTCTTAGAAACTTTTTTTTTTTTTTTTTTTTTTGCAAACTCCTCATATCTCAGTGTGCTCCTAGGAGCTGAGGTTATCAGATAAGTAAGCCATCACCACCTGTCACTTAGTTTGTGCACATCATCTTGCCCAACATAGTAAAGAAAATCACCTGCGAGATTCATTCTGAAAGCACTTCACAAGTGTTCTGTTTGAAAATACAGTTGACCCTTGGAAAACACAATTTGAATAGCACAAGTCCACATATATGTGAATTTTTTCAATAAATGTACCGAAACATTTTTTGGAGGTTTGCAACAATTTGAAAAATGATACATGAACCATGTAGCATGGAAATATCAAAAAATTTAAGAAAAAGGCCACAAATGCATAAAATATATGTGGTACCAGTCTATTTTATTATTTCCTACCATAAAATGTAGACAAATCTGTTTTAAGATGTTAAAATTTATCAAAACTTATGCGCACACTTAAAGACCATACATGATGTCGTTCACAGTTAAGAAAAATGTAAACAAATGTAAGATGCAGGATTAACTCATAACTGCTAAAATTAACTTCAAAACATACTTTACTGCTGTAATAATTTCGTAGCCACCTCCTGTTGCTGTTGTGGTGAGCTCAGGTGTTGGGAGTATCTGCTTAAAACGCTGTGTGATGCTAATCATCTCTGACTGAGAAGTTTATCATTAAAGTAAATTGCCTTCACAGTAAAAAGTGATCTCTCACAGTTATGATATATTATTCATTGTGTTTAGTGCAATGCCATAAACCTTTGAGTAACACCATGGGACCTATATGAAGCACCACTGGTGATACTTTAAGTGCTCCCAAGAACAGAGAATAGTCATGACATCACAAGAAAAAGTTGAATTGCTTGGTGTATACTATAGATTGGGTTTGCAGTTGCCTGCCATTTCAGGATAAATGAATCCAGCATAAGGACTGTTAAAAAAAATAAATAAAAATAAAAGGAAATTAATGAAGCTATTGTTGCAGCCAAACCAACAGGTATAAAAGCCTTGCACTTCTTGTTCAAAAATTTTTTTTTATCTCACATTGAAAATGCAGCTTTTAGGTGGGTACAGGATTGCTATACAAAAGGCATACCTATAGACTAATATGATTCAAGAAAAGTTGAAGTCATTATATGACAATTTAAAGTAAAGGATCTAAAGCTGGAGAATTTAATGCCAGCAAAGGATGGTTTGATAATTTTGGAAAGAGATTTGGCTTTAAAACTGTCAAGGTAATAGGTGAAGCAGCTTCTGTCAACCAGCAGGCAGCAGACAAGTTCCCAGATGCCATTAAGAAAATGAATAGTTTAATTTCGTCTCCTTTCATGCCTGTAATCCCAGTACTTTGGGAGGTCAAGGCAGGCGGATCATGAGGTCAGGAGTTCAAGACCAGCCTGACGAAAATGGTGAAACCTTGTTTGTATAACAAATAAAGAAAGAAAATTAATAGTTTAATTTCATCTCCTTTCATTAAGTCAAATTATCCTTGTTTGCAGATGATATGATCTTATAGTTGGAAAAGCCTAAAGACACCACCAAAAACCTGTTAGAACTGATGAACAAATTCAGTGAAGCTGCAGGATACAAAATCAGCATATCCAAAAATCAGTAGCATTTCTATATGCCAACAGTGAACAATTTGACAAAGAAATCAGAAAAGTAATCCCATTTAAAATAGCCCCAAATAAAATTACATACCTAGAAATTAATCAAAGAAGTGAAACATCTCTACAATGAAAACTATAAAACACTAATGAAAGAAATTAAAGCAGGCATACACAAAAAAATGGAAAGGTATTCCATGTTCATGGATTGGAAGAATCAATACTATTAAAATGTCCATACCCAAAGCAATATACAGATTCAATACAATCTCTAGCAAAATACCAGTGACATTCTTCATGGAAATTGAAAAAATGTCCTAACATTTATATGGAATCCCAAAAGACCCAGAATATTCAAAGCTGTCTTGAGCAAAAAGAACAATACTAGAGAAATCATATTACCTGACTTCAAATAATACTTCAGAGCTATAGTAACCAAAATAGCATGGAACTAGTATAAAAGCAGACACATAGAGCAATGAAACAGAATAGAGAACCCAGAAACAAATCCACATATCTACAATGAACTTATTTTTGACAAGGGCATCAAGATTATACATTGGGGAAAAGACAGTGTCTTCAGTAAATGGTGCAGGGAGAAATGGATATCCATATGCAGAAGAATGAAACTAGACCTCTATCTCTTTCCTTATACAAAAATAAAATCAAAATTAAAATCTAAGACATCAAACTATGAAAACACTACAGGAAAACATTGGGGAAACTTTCCATTTACTGGATTAGGCAAAGATTTCTTGAGTAATACCCCACAAGCACAGGCAACCAAAGCAAAAATGAACAAATGGGATCACATCAAATTAAAAGGTTTCATACAGTAAAGGAAACAAACAACAAAATGGAGGGAGAACTCACTGAATGGGACAAGGAATTAATAACCAGAGTATATAAGGAGCTCAAACAACTCTGTAGGGAAAAAAAATCTAATAATCCGATTTAAAAATGGGCAAAAGGTTTAATAGGAATTTATCAAAAGAAGATGCACAAATGACAAATAGGCATATGAAAAGGTGCTCAATATCACTGATCCTCAGAGAAATGCAAATCAGAGCTACAATGAGATATCATCTCACTGCATTTAAAATGGCTTCCATCCAAAAGTCAGTCAATAACAAATTCTGGCGAGGATGTCAAGAAAGGGGAACCCTCATACAATGTTGGTGGGAATGTAAATTAGTACAGCCATTATGGAGAACAGTTTGAAGGTTCCTCAAAAAACTCAAAATAGAGCTACCATATGATCGAGCAATCCCACTGCTGCATGTATACCCAAAAGAAAGGAAATAATTGTATCAAAGAGATACCTGCACTGCCATGTTTATTGCAGCATTGTTCACACTAGACAAGATGCGTCTACCCACAGTTGAATGGATAAAGAAAATGTGATATATCTACACAGTGGAGTGCTGTTTGGCCATAAAAAAGAATGAGATCCTATCATTTGCAACACGGATGGAACTGAAAGTCATTACGTTAAGTGAAATAAGCCAAGCACAGAAAGACAAACATCACATGTTCCCAATTATTTGTGGAATCTGAAAATCAAAGCAATTGAACTTATGGAGATAGCGAATGGAAAGATAGTTACCCGAGGCTGAGAAAGGCAGTAGGAGGTCAGGAGAGGGGAGGTGGGAGTGGTTAATGCATACCAAAAAAAAAAAGTTGGAAAGAATGAGTAAGACCTAGTATTTGATAGCACAACAGGGGTGCTATAGTCAATAACAATTTTACTGTGCATTTTAAAATAACAAAAAGTATTATTGGATTGCATCACAAATTTAACATTTGTAACAAAATGATAAATTCTTATTAAGTGAATAGATACCCCATTTTCCATTACTATGCATTGTATCCCTGTATCAAAACATGTCATATACCCCATAAGTATATATACCTACTGTGTACCAATAAAAATTTAAAGTAAAAATACAGTTTAAAAAAAAACATTGAGGAGAAAGGATATCTGCCTGAACAGATGTTTAATGCAGCTGAAAGTGCTCTGTTCAGAGGAAAAAACAATGCCACAGAAGACATTTGTTAGTAAGGAAGACAAGCAAGCACTAGGATTTAGGACAGGAAAGGATAGGCTAACTCTGCTGTTTTGTGCAGATGCAGTTAGGTTTATGAAAGGACTGCCCCCATCTATAAAGCAGCTAATGCCCAAACCTTGAAGGGAAAAGATAAATATCAGCTGCCAGTCTTTTGGTTGTACATCATGGAGTCCTGAACAACAAGAGCTTCTTCTGTATTGGTTTCATTGATTATTTGTTCCTGAAGTCAGGAAGTACTTTGCCAGTAAGGGAATGCCTTCCAATGTTCTTTTGATATTGGACAATGCCCTTAGCCACCCAGAACCCCATGAGTTCAACACTGAAAGCAATAAAGTGGTCTCTTTGCCCTCAAGCACAATATCTCCTTGTCAGTTTCTAGATTCGAGGGTCATAGGGACCTTTACGTCTCATTACAGAGGATGCTATATGGAAAAGGTTGTTAATGCTGTGGAAGAGAACCCCCGACAGAAGGATTCAGGATACCGTTGAAGATACCATTGTTATTACAGAAATAGTCCATCAAAGTCATGAAGTCCAAAACAATAAATTCCTGCTGGAGAATATGTCCAGATGTTCAAAGGATTTAGAACAGAGTTGCCGAAATAAATCATGAAAGAGATTGTGGATATGGCAAAAACAAACAAAAAAAACAGTGAGAGGTGAAGGGTTTCAGGTTACAGATTTTGGAGAAAATCAAGAGCTCATGGACACCACACCAGAGGAATTAACAGATGATAACTTGATAGAGATGAGTGATTCCAAACCAGTGCCAGACAATGAAGAAGATGTAGAAGAGCAATGCCAGAAAACAAATTGACATCAAACAATCTTGCAGAAGGGTTCCTACTACTCAAGTCTGCTTTTGACGTCTTTTATGACAAGGATTCTCCTATGATACTAGCACTGAAACTAAAGCAAAAAGTGGAAGAAGGATTGGTACTGTTTGGAAGCATTTTTAGAGAAGTGAAAAAGCAAAAAAGACAAATTACAGTGTATTCCATAAAGTTACACTGAGTGTGCCTGCCTCTCATGTCTTTCTTTCCACCTCCTCCGCCTCTGACACAACAAGACCAACCCCTTCTCTCCTTCCTTCTCCTCAGCCTACTCAGCTAGAAGATGAAGATGAAGACCTTTATGATGAGCCACTTGCACTTGATGAATAGTAAATATCTTTTCTCTTCCTCATGATTTTCTTAATGTTTTCTTTAGCTTACTTTAAGAATATAATATATAATACATATAATATACAAAATATGTGTTAATCAACTATGTTACCAATAAAGCATCCATCAGGTCAGAAGTAGACTATTAGTAGTAAACTTTTTGGCGAGTCAAAAGTTACATGCAGATTGTTGACTGCATGTAGGGTCAATGCCCCTAACAACCCTGTTGTTCAACGGTCAGTTCTCTTTGCAAAAGGAAACCCTAGAGCCTTATAACCTTTGTTTTTATCTTAGTCTGTTCTTACACTGCTATTAAGAAATAACTGAGACTGCGTAATTTAGAAAGTAATGGATTCATGGTTAATCGGCTCATGGTTCCGCAGGCTGTACAGGAAGCATGATGCTGGCATCTTCTCAGCTTCTGGGAAGGTCTCAGAAAACGTACCATCATGGTGGAAGGTGAAGGGGAAGCAGCCCCATCTTACATGCTGGAGTAGGAGGGTGGGAAGAGGTGATGCACTCTTTTAAACAACCAGATCTCATAAGGACTCAAAAGGGGGGATGATGTTGAACCATTCATGAGAACTCTGCCCCCATGATTCAGTCACCTCCCATCAGGCCCCACTTCTAGCACTGGGGATTACGTTTCAACATTAGATTTGGGTGGCGACACAGATCCAAACCATATTACTCTGCCTTGGCCCCTCCCAGATCTCATGTCCTTCTCACATTTCAAAATACAATCATTCCTTCCCAATAGTCCCCCAAAGTCTTAACTCACTCCAGCATTAACTCAAAAGTTTGAAGTCCAAACTTTCATCTGAACAAGGCAAGTCCCTTCTACCTATAAGCCAGTAAAATCAAAACAAGTTACTTACTTCCAAGTTACAATGGGGACATAAGCATTGAGTCAAGAATCCCATTTCAAAAGGGAGGAATCAGCCAAAAGAAAGGGACTACAGGGAGCAATGTCCAGGGGCTGTGCAGGGCAGCTGGGCAGCTGGGCCTTGGGCCTGGTCCATGAAACCATTTTTCCTGCCTAGGCCTCAGGTCTGTGATAGGAGGCACTGCCAGGAAGGTTTCTGATACATCTTTCAGGCCTTTTCCCCATTGTCTTGGCTCTCAGCATTTGCCTTTTAGTTATCAAATTTTTGCAGCCTGCTTGAATTCCTCCTCTGAAAATGGGTTTTCTTTTCTGCCACATGGCCAGGCTGCAAATTTTTCAAAATTTTATACTTTGCTTCCCTGTTAAATATAAATTCCAGTTTCAGGACATTTCTTTGCTTATGCATATGAGCATAGGTAGTTAGAAGCAGCCAGGCTGCATCTTGAACACTTGCTACTTAGAAATGTCTTCTGCCAGATACCCTAAATCATCACTCTCAAGTTCAAGGTTCCACAGATTGCTAGAGCAGGGACACAATGCAGCCAGTCTCTTTGTTAAAGCATAACAAAAATGACCTCTACTCCAGTTCCCAGTAAGTTCCTCATTTCCATCTGAGACCTCCTAAGCCTGGACTTCATTGTCCATGTCACTGTCAATCAGCATTTTGGTCACAACAATTTAACAAGTCTCTAGGAAGTTCTAAACTTTCCCTCATCTTCCTGTCGTTTTCTGAGTTCTCCAGGCTGTTCCAACCTTTCCCCATTACCCAGTTCCAAAGCTGCTTCCACATCTTCAAGTATCTTTCCAGCAGTGCCCTGCTTCTTGGTATCAATTTTTTGTTTTATGAGGCTTCAGGAAACTTAACAATCATGGTGGAAGGCAAAGCAAGAGCAGGCTTCTTCACGTGCCCAGAGCAGGAGAAAGAGAGTGGGGAGGGGCCACCCATTTTTAAACAACCAGATCTCTTGAGAACTTGCTCACTATACACTGCCAAGGGGGGATAGTGCTAAAGCATTTATGAGAACTCTACCCCTATGATCCAATCACCCCCACCAGGACCCACCTTCAGCATTGGGGATTTTATTTCAACATGAGATTTGGATGGGAACACAGATCCAAACCACATCAGTTCTCATTTATGTCAGAATGTTTCTCAGCTCTGTTTTACAAAAGTGAAAGGTTCTTTCCTGGGAATTCAGAGACCCATGTTCTGGTGTTCTCTGTACCTTGCTGTGTGACGTTAGGTTAGTTATTTGACCCCTCTCTGTCTCATTTTCCTTCTTCTAAGTGGCAGTGGATTATGTGATTCCCCGATGGCCCTATGCCTTCTAAATTGCAGTGACCTAAGATCAGTTACATAAGCAGCAATTTGGGAATGGCTGGATTACAGTTACTGAGAAAGATTAAAAGATTAAACAAGTCATCCCACATAATGTCACAGAACACATAAATTGTAGCCCATCATCATTAGTTTCAAGGAGGAAAGTCAACACTTAACTCTGAAGGTGAAATCCAGCCTTTCTGAAGTTGAGACACAGGAAACCTGTATCAGACTCCTAGGCCCCATTTGAAATCCACAGCATCTTTTCTCTTAAAGACTGCGTATTGAACCACCACATCCTCTTCTAGGCATTTATTGATTAATTAACTAACAATTAGTGAAGCCATGGGAAGAAAAGAAGTAGCAAGGTCCTCGGAGGCCTCTTTCTCATTTAATTCCCTCATAAGGGACCTTTATCACTGATAAGGGATGGCAGAGGAAATGGCCACAAAGACAACAACTAGGCCAACTCATTCAGAGCAAAAACTTCAAAATAAGCAACTGGTCTCTAGAAACCCCTGTCTCACCACACCCCAACCGTCCCTGTAACCTTCACCCTAATTCTGCTCTAACATTCTCATATCATATATTCACAGAGTCATGTGAAGAAAAGAAAGATTCCCACATCAACTTTCACACTAATGGTATTTTTCATACGTGTGGTCAGAATCTCCTGGGGATGCTTGTTGAAAATGCAGTCTCTTTACAGCATTCCCAAAATACTGACTGTTTGGGAGTGGGACTCAGGAATTTGCACGGTGGTGAGCACATTCAGGTTTTGAGAACTTCTCTTGAGGGTGGAGCAGAGCAGGCCCGCTTCTGGTTAATGCTCTTTCCCTAAGCCTCTCTCCTCTGTCTCTCACAGGGACCGTGTGAGTGACTGCTCAGACTCAGACGTGTACCACCTGTGTGATTGAGTGACAGCCGAATTATCTTTCTAGAGCAGCATACTCCTTGCCGTCACCAGTGACATTTCCCCAGTGCCACAAGTGAAAGGGAGGGAAGTTTAGGGGACACTTGCCCTTCCTGGGGTACCTGTTCTGCGATTAAATCCCAACCCTGTGCTCTCTTGTCACATCTTCCTCCCTCCTTCCTTTGTAAACCCTTGAAGTCACTGAAAGCATTCCCTTGTATTTCAATGGCAACTCTCAGGGTCATCTCAGCAGATGTTCTGCTGAAGAGGGGTCGGGAGTGACAGTCTGTTTTTAACTTTGGCACTTGCATAAATAAACCGCTTGGTTATGAGAACTCCCATTATAATTGCTTATTAAAGCTGATAAGAACTACACTTCAACCCACAGACAAAATGAATCACCTTTCTCATACAAATACCAGAAGTTTGTGTGTGTGTGTGTGTGTGTGTATTAGGTATCCTTAGGTTTAATATAAAGTAGTTTGGCTCAGATAATCTCTAAGGCTTTTCAAGCACTCAAATTCTGTGGTCTATAAATCCTGTAGTATATTACAGATATATGAGGGATTGTAAAAGGGAATACATAAATAATTGGATAAAAGTGAACAAATGCATTCTAAGAACGTTTTAACGTTATTTAGAGGTAAACTTTGTTATAAGAATAAGAAATATAAAGCAACTTTAATTAACCCATGTTCTTTTATTATAGGTCACTGTATTTTCATTATAGGTCCATGCCACATCAGTAACATATTAAAGAAAAAACAGTCGTGCATTTGTGGAATTTGTTTCATGACAAGTTATTATACTAATTACTTATTGGAGATGCAAAAAAGAAAAGTGATAATGTTTCTACCATCATGTAAAGTTATAATATAACACAGCCAAGTTAGTGGTATAGGTATAAATGAAGTTTGAAGAAAGGAGCAATTTCAGAGGCTTTCGTCCTTAGGAAAGGTGGTGGAGCTTGAACTAGGGACTTGAGGGAATGCAGGATTTGTATAAGTTAAGTAGAAGGAACAGGGCATTTTAGATGGACCAAAGCTTAGCAGATTTTATCATCAAGGTGTACTTTCAATGCTCATGAAACATATTTGCTGCAGGAAAATATTTGTTTCAGGAAACAGTAAAAATTAGGGTGGGAAATACAGGCTGGGCCCAATAATGGAAGCCTTTTAACTCAAATCTAAAACATTTGGGATTGATTTTTTTAAGCCAACATTTACTAAAGCCTTATTCATGCAACACTAGTCAAGTTCCTTGGGCAAAGGACTTCATCATCAAATTTTTATAATGCAAGTTATTCCCCTTTGGAGATTCTCAGTACACACTGGCATGCTAAATATCCTCCAGTTTAACTCAGCATTTATCAAACTTATTTGGTGTTAAAGCCCTTGTCTCAAGTTCTATCTGTCAATGTCTTGAATCCTTCAGGAAACTGTTACAAGCAGTGAGGTCACTAGATAGTTCAGGACTCACTCGGGGACTCAGTGATTGATTCTGTCTCCTGTGCCCTCCATGTTCATGTACTACTCCCAGCAACAGAATGCGAGTAGTAGTGGATGCCTAAAATATTAGTTTAGGAAGAAGTTGGTTGTGAGGGTCTGTTTCAGGTGTGACACATATGAGATCACAGTAGGATGCTCAAATGGAAATAGCTAGTAAGTTGTCAAAACAATTATAGTGAAACTTCAGGTGGAGATCCTACCTACAGATAGAATTGGCTGTCATCCAAATGGAAGGACCGCTTGAGTGGATGAGTTTACTGTAACAATTGTTTTCTTGTAACACCCCATATAATTTACTTATGCTCATCACTTGTCTGTCTTCCTCCTACTAGAGTGGAAACTCCTTGAGGGCAAGGGACCTTTGTCTGTTCATAACATTTCCCAAATGCAAGGAACAGTGTCTGGCACAAAGCCAGCACTCAATAAATATCTGTTGAGCAGAACTGAACACGGAATGCTTCATATTTATTTGTTCAACGAACATGAGCTCTTACTCTCCATCTGACCAGAAGCTGGAGATTCCGCAGAAAAACAGGATATGGACCCTCCCCGAAGAGGGCTCCGGGTGAACTATTGGAGACAGATATCTAAGCCACTTATCATCACCTAGGGTATAAGTGCAGGAGTAAGTGCGCACTTCCCTGCAACCCTGACCACACAGAGGAGGAGTGGGAAGGTCTGTGGGGATAGTTGAACCAGACTTTAGGGCAGGAGCTAAGTCAAGAAGGTGGTTTGTCTAAGGGCCAAGGCAAGTGAGCACAGACATTCCAGACAAACAGAAGAACGTATACAGAGCAATACAGCCCATGCCAGCAGCAGCAGTGAGCAACATGGAATATCACATGGGAAAAACAGGAGCAGCAAATGAGGCTGGAGATGCAGGCCAGGAACTAATACAACCCCACAAGCTTTAACATAACATTAAGCAAACAAACTTAGTGTTAGACCACATGTAAAAGAATTTTGTATGGCAAAAACGAGCATTCTGAAGATTGTGCTAACAGTACCTATTGATGGATTGAATGTGGAGTAGGAGGAGAGAAAGAGATTTTTGGCTTCATCTTGGATGGATGGAGCTGCTGTTTACCAAGATGCAGAAGACTGGAGCAGGCCTGGGCTTGAAAGGGATGATCAGGGGTTTGTTTTTGGACAAGTTAAGTTTGATATGCCTAGTCTACCTTTAGAGAAGAGGTCAAGACTGGAGTTAATAAATTTGGGAGCTGTCATCACAAAGGTGATCTTTCAAGCTGGGAGGCTGAGCTCATCTAAGAAGTGACCACAGGCTGGGCACGGTGGCTCACGCCTATAATTCCAGCACTTTGGGAGGCTGAAGTGGGCAGATCACGAGGTTAAGAGATTGAGACCATCCTAGCCAACATGCTGAAACCCTGTCTCTACTAAAAATCCAAAAATTAGCTGGGCGTGGTAGCATACGCCTGTAGTCCTAGCTACTCAGAAGGCTGAGGCAGGAGAATCGCTTGAACCTGAGAGGTGGAGGTTGCATTGAGCCGAGATTGCACCACTGCATTCTGGTGGACAGAGTGAGCCTTTGTCTAAAAAAAAAAAAAAAAGGAGTGACCATAGACAGAGAAGAGGGATCCTTTGGCCCCCAATGTTTATATGTCAGCAAGATGCAGAACAAACAGGAGGTGAAGGTGTGGCAGCCAGAGAGGTGGAAGGAGAACACTGTGATCTTCTGGAAGTCTAGTGAATGAGGTATTTCAAGGAGATGCCATTTTTCAGATGTTTATATTAAAGACCCCAGAACCATCACATAATTGGTAGGGATGTCAGGGAAACCAGTAACTCAGATTTTGGGGAGGGAAGGCATAAAAATTGGGTCCATATCTAGGGAAAGCCACATGGCAGTACATTTTAGAGTTTCAAATTCTGTGTACTTTCAACCAATAATTCCATTTTTTTCAGAGATGATTCTATAAATATGATCAAATACTTTGGGAAAGTCATATGTGCAGTGGTTTTTGTTGTAATATTGAGGACAACTTAAATGTTTACCAGGAGGGCCCTGGGACATACATTATGATACATCCTTATAATGGAACATTATGCCACTGTACAAAGAATAAAGAATTCACAAGTTAGCCAGACGTGGTGGTGTGTGCCTGTAGTTCCAGCTACTTGGGAGGCTGAGGCATGAGAATCGCTTGAACCCAAGAGGCAGAGGTTGCAGTGAGCCAAGATTGTGCCACTGCGCTCCAGCCTAGATGACAGAGTGAGAATCCATCGCAAAAAAAAAAAAAAAAAAAAGGAAGTATATGTGTATTTGTGTGTGTGTATTCGTGTATATATGTATATGTGTGTATATATATATATTTGTGTGTATATATACATATATACTTGCCTCCAGACATATATACATATATAAGAAAGATCTTATATACATATATAGATAGAGATATAGTTGTAAAAGCAAGAGAAACCGTGTGTGTTATTTGCTAACATTTGCTTTAAAGAGGCAGGCAGAATATGCCGTGTGTGCTGTGTGTGCATCTCTCTGGAAGGATACCTAAGAAGGAATAACAGCGGTTGCCTGAGAGGGGGAAGGCGAGCAATGAGGCTGGGAGATGGGGAAAGGAAAGACCGTTCCCTGTATATCAGTTTATGCTTTTAAAATTGTTGAACCATATGACTACATTATCTGTTGAAAA